CGCTCCGCCACCGCACCCTCTTTGGATATCTCTTTACTGAATATCTCACCCAAAACTTATACTAGAATGTTGTAATTTGGAACAGATAATTATAATTCATTCAAAAGGAATTTGTTTGACATAAAATTCATAAGGAAGAAACTTATTTTCGAAAACGGAAATGACTTTGGTATAAACTATCCGTAAACACATTATGCATTAATTTTAAAAAAGATCTTGTAAGGAAAGTCATGAAATAGTAGGGTACACTTTTCCTTTTAAGATTTAATTTTTCCATCCCTGTAACATTTAAACAATATTTCTTTTCTCTTACGGAGTTAAATAAAAATATTTTTAAAATTCTGTCATTCCGAGAATCGGTGCACGATGTCCTCCTTTGGACTCGACGTCTTTTAATGCTCGTAATATTCAGTGATGGCCAAATGCTAGGATCCACCTAACTGAATGTTCAAAGCCACACACATCGTACATTTTACAGTATGGAGTTGTTTCTAGAGACAATAAGAGGGAGGGGTGGGGTTTGTTGCCCAATAGACAGCAATTCTGGCACTGGCGTTAACATATTCTGAAAGGTGAATATGGGCTTCGCAAAGGAACCAATGAATGTCATCGAGGAAATGTTTCCGCTTTTCAAAACAATCTAGGGATCATGGACACATTGCTATCCTCTGATCAATGTCAGCGTCACAAATATGAAAAAATACGATCGTAAATGAAGATCTGCTCTTAGAATGCAGACCGTTGAGATGTAGGGAAGTCCGATCCCCCTGCAGACATCTCTTTACTAAGGACAGTCGTCTCATGGGACTAACCTACTGACATCTGGACCGTTGTGACGTTTAAAGGAAATGGTGTGTATTTGATCTGAAGTGGTCGTTCTGTCTGGGAATTTTTAGTTCTTGTTCTCTACAGGTCCTAACTGACGAAACATGTCCACCCTTGACGTCAAAGAAGGCCTTATAAGGACATTTTAATATTGTTTCCGTATCTTGTGCGAAACTAACGAAATGAGCTTGGGGCGAGGTAATGTTTAATAGAAAAAGCTCTCTGCTCTTTGCACATCTTAACCATATTCTCAGCAGGCGAGGGAAACTTGAGAAAAACAATATCTGCAAACTTCTGTTGGCTAATTAGACTACTATAACTTGCAATATGACGCAATCGTTGGGACTTTCGGTGGTAGGCCTACGGCAAACTAATGGGTCATGTTAGAAAAATGGGGACATAGCTTAAATTGGGTTGTTGTTTTTTTAGCGCTAGGTAAAGCAAAACTATTCTGTGGAATTATCTCAAATGAATATCAGCCAAATTCCCTTTGACTTCCAAATATTGTGTACAAATTTGAAACGCAAAGCTTCGGTGCGGAGTAAAATACTAACAAAAAATTGGTGTCATTTTATTTTTGAATCACCCTGTATTTACGATTTAAGAAGGTAGAGATCCCCTGATGCCAGAGGGAAAACAAGCGAGAAAATGGCCGCCGAAGTTTATTGACTTCTAAAGGTTGGGTGTCCTTTGAAACTGCAAATTTTCATTTTTTTCGTGCCTTTCATCAACGTTTTCCAGTTTAACCAACACATAAATGTGTTTTTGAATAGACATACAACACGTTGAACAACCCCCCCTCCCCCCCAAACCCCCCCCCCCAACAAAAAACAAAAAACAAAAACAAACAACAACAACTACAAAAACAACAACAATTAAAATTCTAAAACAAGCTGTAAAATACCGGTTGCTTTGACACCTTGACGAGCGCCTGATTTCACTAAGATGCCACCAAACTTGGGCACTATATGAAGTATGGCAGAGGCTGCGCTAATGTAAAAAAAGAAAAGAGTGCGATTGTGCGTTTTATTTCACCTAACAGCAAAAAAAAAAAAAAACACCAAAAAGAAAAAAAAAGGAGAATGCAAGAAGTACAACCCCAAAACAAACAAATGAACCCCCCC